ACATCATAGTCAAATAAACAACATCATATTCGATCTGCGAAGTCTCTATCAGTTCCTGCCCGGTCCTTATCGCTCAGCCTTACATTTTGCTGAGAAAATGTTCCCTGTTCAATAACAAACCCGGGAGCCCACAAGAGCATCGTGCTTCGGGGCGACGTGCTGAGAACTGGGGGCTGGGGGTGGGATCCCTTCTTCTGAAAGCTCCATTTGAAAGGAATTGATTGCCAGGGTGGGAGGGACCCCTGGGGCTCCAGCTCTGCCCCCTGCCCACGGGACGACACAGAAAACAGGTCGAAGAACCTGTGAAGATGCCGCAGACGGGCACGTTTTAAGCAGTGAGTGAGCAATTGTTTGTGGATTTTGGTTTTTTGGTGTTGGTTGTTTGGGTTTTTTTGATTCCTTTATTTGGCTTCAGGACATGACTTTACCGTAAAAGAAAACCAGGATTTTCTGACATGACTTTACATTTGTTGTCGTTACGAAGCATTTAGTGAGGAATTACAGATTTACAAGCGCGGGGGTTTCCTCCTCAATCAGCAGAGCCCCTGGGGCGGGCAGGAGCCCCCGGGCCGGCTGCGGGCTTCCTCCGTCCTCACCCCACGTGTGATTATTAAGTTCTTATCGCAATAAGGAGTCACTGACACCGGGCTGCTTTCCAGGGAATGCTGCTCCCTTAATAGGCCATTATATCTGGGTAATAAGGGCTAAACTCTTCTGGGGGCAGTTAGTCATAAATTAAGTAAAATAACACCATGGATCCCGCCTTCCTCCCGGCCCTCACCAAGGAGGGATGATGCCGCCCATGGATCTCCTCCTCTGATGGCTTCCTGGGGGGGCACAGCACTGCCTGGGCAGTGCAATGCCCCCTCCCGCTGTCGGGGCCGTGCCTGGGTGCCCATAAATAATGCAGATAAGAATGAAATAAACCGGGGACAGTCTGTGACTGGGTTCATTGACTCCCAGCCCCGAGATCTGGCTCCCAGCTGAGGTCTCTGCACCCTCATTTGACAAAGGGCATCTCCCTCTTGGTGCCGGGGCCTGGGAACGGGGTGCTCTTGCCGTGGGTGTCTCTGCCGCAGGGCACGGCGTCGCAGGGGGCTCATTCCTGGGAAGGGGCCACAAAGGCAGCAGACTTGGCTGGAAAAAGCCACATTCGGGCAGCTGGATGCCATCCTCAGTGGGGATGCCCCATCCCTGGAGGGGTTCAAGGCCAGGCTGGATGGGACTTTGAGCAACCTGGTCTGGTGGGAGGTGTCCCTGCCTCTGCATTGATGGGAATAAAACTGTGGGCCCATCTCTGACCCATCTAGAGAGCTCTGGATCTTGGGATGGGGCAGCCTCCTACCATGGGGGCTTGCAGGGTGGTCTCCTAGCACGGAGGGTTGAGAGGTGGCCTTCCACCACAGGAACTGGCAGGGTGGATGGTGAGGTGAGCTCTTGCCTTCTCTCTCTTGACGATGCTGAAATGCAGAGGGATTAGGACATGGAAGAAGTGAGGGATGTGGATGGCAGCCGAGGGATGGAGCATCTCCTGCTCCAGCAGCTGCTGGGGAAGGTGCATCCTGGGGCAGAGCAGCCGTGTCCTGCCCAGTAAAAGGATCCATTTCCCTGCTCACTGTTCCCATGGGGTCTGGTTTGCACTGGGGTGGGACCCCTGGTGCTGTGACACCCTTGAGACCCTGACCAGGAGGAGACCCTGCTGCATCCAGAGACAGGTACATCTCTGACCCCGGGGAGTGGGGAGATGGGGGGGTCTCCTGCTTCAGAGGGACAGGAGATGCAGACAGCTGCCTTGGTGGAAACAACTTGCAGTGCTTTGACTTCACTTGGCTTTAAAGCCAATCTGGTGAGAGCCGTGCAAAGTCTTCCATGGAGACCCCCCCATACACCACCACCATCCCCCCCTCCAGCTGCCCCAGCGCCAGGTATATTGATTTAATTTGCACCTGCACGTTTTTTGGCACTCCCCGGCCCGTGGCGAGCCAGCACTGAATTCACGTAGGAGATTTCTGGCAGGAGGCTGCCCCGGCTGGGCTGAGCCAGCCTCAAACAGGGGGGGTCCCGCAGGTTGGGCTCCGTGCACAGCCCGAGGGCTCCCTCCCTGCCCCGAGACGGCGGGGGGGAACGGGGGTGTGTGGGGAGAGGGGTTTTGCTGTGAGTAATTCATATGCCCTTTAATATCCATTCATATCTCCTTGTGCTCCCGCAGCACAGGGATGCCCGGCTCCCCCCTCCTCACCCTGGGGGGATGCTGTGACCCTGGGGGTCCCCCTGCTCCCCCCCCTCCAGCCTCTAATGCAGCGGGTACCGAGAGCAGCCTGGGGTCCGTCCTGCTGCCGACCCCCCCTCGGGCGGTGGGGTCCCTCGGGCAGGATGCTGATGCTCGTTCCTGAGGTTTGGTGATCGGTTCCTTTCTAATCCCCATTTTCAATTGCTCATAACTTATGTCATTTGGGCTGGAATTTTCCAGACGTGAGCTCCCTACAAAGGTGGTTCTTTCCTTTTCCTTTTTTTTCTGTAACCAAATGAAAGCCTTCAGCCAAATGCTCTGGCCCTGTCCATTTCCTTTCTTCTTTTTTCATTTTTTTTTTTTTTTAGTGAGCATACAGCAAACACAGACTTTTCCCATTATATATTAAAAATATAGTTATAGAGTCACCTTTCCTGCTGCGGTGTCAGTGGGGAGAGGGCCCCTGGCCGCCCGCCGGAGAGCTGGGGGGGCAGTGGGGGGGGGATGCTGCCATCCAGCCCAGCTCAGCTTTCCCCATCTCCCCCCAAACCCTGACCCCCTCAGGGCCCTTTGGGTGCCCCCAGGAAACCTGAATTACCACCCTTTGAGGAAGGCACTTTCCCAAGCCCAGAGCAACGTGTGTTCCTACTTTAGCATTTGTTCTCCCGAAGCGGGGGTGGGCTGGGGGGGGGCTGCTTTCTGGCTTGAGCCTTCTGTAGGTGTGAGTTGAAAGCCCCTTTCCCTCCCAGGTGTCTCACAGGCACTCGATTCCCGAGCAGAGCTGGTAAATGTGCATTTGCAGGTATTTTCCATGTATTTACGCCATTGCTCCTCATCATCTCCCCGCTGTGAGGGGCTGGGGGACGGGTACCCCCCCGGTGAAGGCATCTCATGAGCATCCCTGCTGGGCTGAGGATGTCCCCAGCCACGGGGATGGGCAGCACACACATCCCACCCCATGGCAGGCAATTTTGCCTTCTCCTCCCTTCCTTCTGGTGGCAAAGAGGCCACAGCTGATGGGGTTGAACCCCGGGGGGACTCTGGGGGACCATGGCTGTGCAGAGCAGGATGGAAGCAGCTCCCCCCTCTCCATGATGTCACCTCCCTGTGCTCCCTGGGGACACATTAATCCATCCTGTGTGCTAATGAGGGCAGCGGGGCCAGGCCATGCAGGTGAGCAGCACCTGGCTGGGGGTGCCCATGGCTGGGGCTGGTGCAGGACCCCAGCCCACCACGTGCCACCCCCAGCCACCAAACGCCCTCGGAGCAGCTGGTGGGTGAGGTGAGTCACTCCCCGTCTCCCTTCCCACACCTGATGGGAATCTGGAGCAGGCATCAGCTGGAGAAAATCCCCCCTTACATTTTCCAGGCATGAAGGGGTCACTCTGTGGCACGGGGGTCACCAAGACCAAGACCCAGGTGGAGGAAATGTTATTTCTTGGTGGGTTCTTTTGTGGTGAGGATGAGCACGGGGCTGTGCCTCCTCCATCCCCATCCCACCCTGCCGGGGGACACGGCCCCAGCCCGCACCCTCCTGCCAAAAAACATCCCTTCCTGCCGCTCCTCCCCTCTGCAGAGACAAAACACACGCAAAGGAGGCTCCTATGTTTCTCCAATTAATGTAATTAAGAGAATTAAACTTTTGGAGAGAGTGAGTTTTTAATTTTCTTTTTATTTGATTAGGGAAATTCCCGCTGCGCGCCTCGTGCAAATGAAACCCAGGCTCCTTTCTGACGCGGGGCGGCCCCGGGAGGACACGGTACCTCTCAATCTCACAGGCTGATGTATTTAGAGTTAAAAATCACCATCCCCCCCCCCAGCCCCGGGCAGCCCAAGGACAGATCCTGGAGCCTTGATTAAAGCACGGCTTTAAAGCCAGGAGGTGCCCGTGGAGCTGCTGGGCTCGCAGTGTGCCCTGTGTGGCTAGCACAGCCCCAATACTACTGCCAGGGGATGCCAACTCATCCTGGGGCTCCCCAGTTTTCCCTTGTTTAGTCCAGGATGGTGCAATAAATCCAGGGAAAAGCAGGGCAGCCCTGGGATTGGGTGGCCAGTCCCAAAACTCAGCCAGACATCCATCCCGGCCAGCTTGCCCACCTGAACCCCAGCGCTGCGGCCCCATCAGGTGGTTTACCCCATAATACTGAAAACTAATTATTTTTGTCAGCCTGAATATTAAAACCTCTTGCCCACGAGGCTGGGTTTAGCTATCAAGGTTACCGACAAATAAAACACAAGAAAAAGCCTTTGTACAATCCTGCCGTGAGGCCTCAGGAAGTTATACTGTCCCACAAGTGCTCCAAAATTACCAGCCAGGTCCCCAAAATGAGATAGGCTTAAAAATCAATAAGAATAAAAAAAAATACATTATGGGTTTTAATTTTTCTTCGGCTTTCTGAGCTTTTTGGGCACACAGGGGACGCGTTACACATTAATGAAAGCTGCTATTCTCATCTCAGCACAATTTCAGGTGGTCGTAACTTTGAAAACCACGGGAGACATCTCCGGGTCCGCGGCGGGTACAGACCCGGGCAGAGAAGAGCAATCCAAAAATTGGGGCAAAACGGCTACTTTTAGCCCCACTGGGGTTTTCCCTGCAGCAGGAAGCAGTTCTGGAGAGAGCCAAAACCAGCTCTTTTTAAATATTTCCCCCCAGCAAAAAAATCTGCTGACCCACACACAGTCTGGCTTTCCGGTTCCTCCCAATTAGCCTAATGAATTGGAGATAGAGCTCCCAGAGTGCCGGCGGGGGGCGGGGAAACCACGGGAGCCGACATGGGGCCGGTGTGGGGGCTGATGTGGGGCTGGTGTGGCCACAGCGGCGGAGCGCAGGTGGCCCAGGAGCGGGGGGCAGGTGAGGCTTGTGTTTCCCAGCCCTTGTGGCCTCTCCAGTAAAAACTTTGAAGTCTTCAGCCGCGGAGGATGGGGGTTTCTCTGGATTCAGCAGGAGGTGTCAGCTCTGCTCCCCTCCAGAGAGGGGGGGAACGGCTCCCCGTGCCCGGGAGGCGGAGTTTGAAGCTTTAAACCCCATCGAATTCCTGGGCTCACAATGAGCCCTTCTGATTATTATCATTTTATTATTTTTTTTTTTTATTGGACGAAATATTTTTCTCTGTTAATCCCTAATTCCTCAGGCTTTCCCAAGGGCTCCCCGGAGGAGAGAAGCTGGGGGGCAGGAGGGAAGGGCCGGGCGATGCCACGTTGGGATGACGGCACAGGGTGGGATTTGTGGATGCTCTTCCAGGTCCCCGCATGCTATAAATGAGCACAAGGGCAGTGACTTGCTGGTGACAGTCCCACGGCAGCAGACAGCCATGGCCAGCACGCAGGGACCGGCCGCCCATCACGGCAGCGCTGGCAAACCTATGCTTTGGGAGGAAAATGAGCGTTTTTGGCTGCGGCAGCAACACGATAAAACCCCAGGAACCGCTGGTTGAGGCTCCTGACGACGCTGCTCGGAGCATCTGCGGAAGGGAAAACTTCCCAGCGTAACATCCACAGCCTCTTAAGTAAATAGTCTTTAATGTTGCACTAAAGGGTTGTAGCCTTAATACGTAAAATCTGTTTAGCTTTTTTAATTCTTGGATCGTGCTGTGGAAAGTCCTCCAGAACTTGCCTCTTGGCTTTTTTCCCCCAGCCTTTGGTCTCGGAGGAGCCGGGGTGAGGAGCGCCAGCCCCCCACAGAGCCGGCCACAAGCCCGGGGCCAGTGGAAGCCAGTGGGAGATGCCCTGAAGATGGCAGCAAGGCCATGGACACCAGGCGGCAGGGGCTGGCCACAGCGCAGGGACATGCTAAATGCTCTCTGAAGCAAATATTTTGCTTTTAAGAATTAAAAAAAGAGGGAAGGAGGGGGAGCAGAGGGCTGTTTTGTAACAAATTCCAGAGCTCTGCCCCTGGCTGGAGCTTTCTGCTAAGTCAGGATGGAGCTCATCACAACCGCTCGCTGCTGGGATGCTGAAGGACTCGTCAGCCCCTCACAGCTGGGTCCCCCAACGAGCTGCAGCTGGGTGTCTCCTACGAGCCACAGCTGGGTGCCCCCTACGAGCCTTTTTAAACACCCATGAGGGGTGGGACAGGTTCCCTGAGAGCTCTGGCTGCAGGTTGGGGTGAGGATGAGTTCCCTGAGAGCTCTGACTGCAGGCAGCCTCGTGCAGGGGGAGTTATTTTGGGGTCTCAGCCTTTTCTTGTGCTGGTAGCCCTTGGCCAGGTGGGCTGGGTGCTGGCCTAAGGTGGTTCATCCCATGGCATGAAGGCAAGTGTGCGTGGGAGCCGGTGGCCACTGGGTTCCTGTGGGGGCTGTGTGTGCTGGGGAGCCCGAGCGGGGCTGCTGGGGGCCGTGTAAATGCACAATTAAAGGGAAGAGCAATCTTTTCCCCTGAGATCTCCCAGGCTCAAATTAGGGAGGCTGGAGCCCTGCCAGCAAGTGACAGACTGTGGCCGGGAGAGGCTCATAGAGCCAGGGGAGGAAGAGGAGGAGGTAGAAGGTGAAGGAGGAGGAGGTCCAGGTGCTGCATGCAGGGTTTTGTCTAGACTGGGAGTGCTGTCCCCTGGGCTGGGGGGGTCTCGGGGTGGGGGAGGTCAGCCCTGCCAGGGCATGGGGATGTGCAAGGGGGAGAGCAGCACCCCCGGGCAGGGGGATAAAGGAGGGGGATGGAGCTGGGCTGATGGAAAAGCGGGTGTAAGGGGGTGGCTGCAGCTTGAAATGAGGGCGAGGAAGATGGTGGGTCTGAGCAGACACTCGGCAGCAGGGGGTTTGGAGGGATGTGAAGGGGGACAGGAGGGAGCCATGGGGCAGGACCAGGCGCAGGACGGGGTGGGATGTCTAAGGGGCTGTGTGGGGCCAAAGTTCAGCCCCTCCACAGGTGATTCTGAGGAGATGTGGGAGTGATAAGTGGAGCTGGGGGAGGTCTGCCCAGCGGGAGGCTCAGTGATGAGTGTTCTGGGGTGGAAATGGAAAGGCTCTGTAGGTCTTTATAACTCAGCTTGGAAAAACACAGTGACTTCAGTGCTTTTAGAGAGCAATAAGCCTGGAAGGGGGGGTCACTTACAAGCCAGAATGCAAGAAACCAGCAGCTTCCAGTGCTCTGATCTCCATGTCTACCTTGCAGCTGAGGGACCTTCCCTATGGTCAGCAGCACCTGGGCACCATGTGGGCAGAGCAGCCGTGGCTGCCACAGAGCTGGGCCAGGCAACCAGCAACGGGCTGGCCCTGGAGATGGGCTCCACTTCTGCCTGCCAGCAGCGGTCTGGAGAGGAGGAACATCTGGACCCCCAAACCTCAAGGTAAGACCCCTGGGCAGCATTAATGGCCCTGGAGCTGCGCGTTGGGCTGGTGGTTGGACAAAGGGTGGGAGGAGAAGATGTTCTGAGATCTGAACATCCATGTGCTGGAGGGGGTGGCTGCACAGGGAGACCTCTATGTGCTGGGAGGCAGGACAGAGCCCACAGACAAACTGGGGGAGGACTGGGATGAGCTTGTGTGAACTCTGCAAAAGTATTGGACCAAGGCATGGAGCACATGCTGGCCAACCACCACTCCAGATGTCTACACGCAGACGTGAGGGGCTGTAAAGGAGGTGGTGGTGGGCAGAGGTGGGATGGAGGCGTGTGGCAGTGCTGCTGTGGGGTGGAAGGGCACGGTGATGGGCTGTGGGAGCCCGTGGCTGTGAGCGCAGAGGAAGCCCCAGCGCTGCTGTACCCCGTACCAGGGTATTTGTGCCGTTGTGACTATGGTGGGCTCTGGCCCAGGGTCTGTGGCATCTTTCCAATCTCTGGTGTGGAGGAGAGGTTCGTGTGTCACTGTTGTGCCTCCTTAACCATGGTGTGCTGGCCTTGGGCTTTGCAGTGACCAAGGAAATGAGGGTACCTGAGCGCACATTGGTCTGCCATCCCCTCTGGGGAGACAAGGGGAGTGATGTCCTCCCCTGTCCCGCCAGCATCACCCACATCCTCCCACCACCGTGCTCCTGCTCAGACAAAAACCTTCCTGTGCCACGTGCTGCTGGTGGCCGGAGCGGGCCCGGCTCAGCTGGCATCCTGGATGCCTGCCCATGGTGCCATCATCCCCAGGGCCCCTGTGAGTCAGCACTGGGTCCCCTCTGCCTGGAGCCCCGCCAGCCCCTGAGCAATGGTTTCCAGTGCATGTGGCCAGGTTGTGTGTCAGGAGGATTAATGACGGAGGCTTCTCGGGGCTTTAGGAGATCTGGGTCTAATTTAAAACCCAAACAAAATGTAGGAATGGAGGAGCAGGGGAGTTGTTGTCCTGGGGCGAGCCTGGGATGCAGATTGTCGCCTCTCCGATCTTGCAGGAACATGTGCCAGGACCTTCAGAGAAGGTACAAGCAAACACCTGGTACACAGGAAAAACCCAGCCTCCCAGGGGTGCTTTCTTCTTTGTCTTTCGCTATTAGTCATTAGCTTATGCTCCGGAGCACATGGCCTTATCTCCCCTCCAGGCATCTTCCTTTTATCTACCTTGACTCATGGAGCTACAGAAACTTTTATTAGCTGCATAAATGTCAGATCTTCTTTAAAATCTTACAAAACTCTCCTCCTCGGTGTATCTTACGGCAATGAGTTCCACGCATTAATCACATGTGGGTGTAAAAATGAGTTTCTTATCAGTTTTTAGCTTTCTGTCTCTGGATTTAGCCCTCTGTCCTGGTCAAGCTCTGGTGTCCACCCCTGACGTGGGGATGAGCTGGGTGCCAAGACAAGCCTCCCCTTTTGCCGGAGGTTTTCCGGTAATGGGCTTAAAGCCAGGGTGTGGGGCAGGTTGACAGTGACCCTCCTCTCCCAAGAAGTCCCCAGCAGGTCTCTGGCTGGAGCGGGGCTGGCGGCGGAGCGGCTCTGCGTGCCAGAGGGATGGGAAGCACCGGCTGAAGATGTCTCCCCAGGCAAAGGCTTGGGGTTGTGCCAGGTTGTGGGAGGTGGAGGTTTGGGAAAGGGCTGCAGGGCTTAGCCAAGGACCAAAGGAAATGTGGAACAAGGGAACGTTTGTCTTGATTTAATTTGACACTTAAACTGGAAGGGGGTGATTTGTAGCTGTGCGCGTTTAGAAAAAAAACTCCTGGAGATAGGGAAGTGGAGGCAATGGCAGGTTTGGATGCCAGATCAGATAAGACCCTGTGGGTAATGCCTCTACCTTACTCATTTTTATTCAGCTTTATCTTCAGGCTCTGATGGCTTGAAATCCTCCACTCCTGACTCTATTTCCAATATCTGCTCTGCGCCGAGGCCCCCCCAGCCCTGTGAGACACGTGCTGCCGCGGTGGCTTACCCCGGCACCCTGCTCCCTGGCACGGCCACCGCTCCCCCAAGGGCAGAGGGATGCCCTGGCCACTGCCAGACACCGAGCTGTGCCCCACGGCACCTTGAGCAGCTTGGGAAGGAGGCAAGACTCCGTGGGGCAGTGCCCCAGAGCTGTGGGAAGGGGGTCCCGGAGACCCCCACCGTGTGACATCCCGTGTGTTGGATGGTCTGTGCGGGTTGATGCAGGGACAGCTTTGTGCAGAAGGTGGGGAAAGGTGGGGGAAACTGCCTGGGGGGGAGCATTGAAGGTTTTCCTGGCCAGGCTCCATGGCTCGTGCCGCAGAGGAACAGAGCAGCCACCCCAGGGCTTGCTGCCCCCCCAGCCCCCCAGGCAGCTGAGCAGGGAGCGTTGCAATGAAGGAGAAGGAGGGTGACGGGAAGGAGGTCCTGGCACAGCCCGGGCATGTGCAGGCATCGCCGAGGAATGTGCCCACACCCCCCATGGGGCACATTGTGGGGTGCTGGCAGGAGCTGGGCCCCGGGAAGGGCCCTGGGCAGGTACCGGAGCGGCCGGAGGAGCAGGCGGAGGCTCGGGAAAGCGCTGGCCGGGATGAAAGGCTTTTGGCACCGGCCCTAATCCTTTCCTGCCAATACACTGATTGGAATTGAGTTTCCAATGTGAACAGTCGTGGGACTCTATCCGCAAACCGGCAGGGAGAGCTATAGATTTTTATCATGTGTTTCACAGCTATTTCTTTCATTTAATATAAAAAAAAAAGAGAGAAGAACAAGAGTGACCGCTGAAAGCACTCCAGAGCCGAGCTGGGCAGGACGAGGTGGGCACAGAGGGGATGGGGGTGACAAGGGGGATGGCTCTTCCTACCTCTCTTCCATGGCAGCTCCCAGAGCGGGGCACATGCACAGGCTGGGGAGGGCGCTGGAGGCGAGATGCTCTTTTTATATCTCCCGACAATGCTCCTTTTTTAATCTTTTATTATTTTTTTTTGCCGCAGTACACCACTCCTGCCTCGCCTTCAGCCTGCGATCCATTACATCCCCCAGCTCTGTTCCGCAGAGCAGCTCCCTCCCCGGCTTCTCCCTGCATTTCTCCAGCCTCCTCCTCCCCCTCACCCCGCGCTCGCTCGCTTGAACCTTGCACTTGTCTTGGTGAACACCCTCCTGTTTTTCCTGGCTCCGGCTCCAATTTATCAAGGCTGTTTGGAGCCCCGGTCCTGCCTCGCCGCGTCGCCTGAGCGGCCCTGGCTCTGACACAAGGCATGGGATCTTCCCGCGGGTGACGAGAGCTGATTTTTTTGGCCATTTAGAGGAAATGCACAGGTTAATGACAGAGCTGGCTCCTCTTCTCCTGACCCTTTCCGCCCTCATCTCTCTAACAAGGTTGGCCCACGTGGGGCAAATGCCCAGGGAATGCTGTTGCTTGAGGATTTTTTTTTTATTTAAAAAAAAAAAAAAAGGACCATGGCAGCTCCCAGAGCGGGGCACATGCACAGGCTGGGGAGGGCGCTGGAGGCGAGATGCTCTTTTTATATCTCCCGACAATGCTCCTTTTTTAATCTTTTATTATTTTTTTTTGCCGCAGTACACCACTCCTGCCTCGCCTTCAGCCTGCGATCCATTACATCCCCCAGCTCTGTTCCGCAGAGCAGCTCCCTCCCCGGCTTCTCCCTGCATTTCTCCAGCCTCCTCCTCCCCCTCACCCCGCGCTCGCTCGCTTGAACCTTGCACTTGTCTTGGTGAACACCCTCCTGTTTTTCCTGGCTCCGGCTCCAATTTATCAAGGCTGTTTGGAGCCCCGGTCCTGCCTCGCCGCGTCGCCTGAGCGGCCCTGGCTCTGACACAAGGCATGGGATCTTCCCGCGGGTGACGAGAGCTGATTTTTTTGGCCATTTAGAGGAAATGCACAGGTTAATGACAGAGCTGGCTCCTCTTCTCCTGACCCTTTCCGCCCTCATCTCTCTAACAAGGTTGGCCCACGTGGGGCAAATGCCCAGGGAATGCTGTTGCTTGAGGATTTTTTTTTTATTTAAAAAAAAAAAAAAAAGGATAGGCAGTGTGCCCAGGGAAAAGAAAACATCCTGGAGATGCTGGGAAGGGGCACAGCACGATCCTGCCCTGGAAGAGCCTCCCCTCCGCCCCCGTTGTTATTGCTGCTCCCTCTTTTGACCTGAGCAGTTTGCAAATATTTTCAGTCCTGCAGGTTGTTTCCATTAGGAGGAAAAATCAATGAGGCAGCCAAGAGTCTGCGCCGGAGCCTGAGCTCTGCTAAAAACGGCCCGAGCGCCGCTCTCCTGAGCCCGGCCGGGGGTGGGGGGGCCTTTTCCCGGCTCCCACCCCAGCGCTTCCCAAAAACCGGGGCTCCGGGTCCCCCTCCCCACCCCCGGGAGAGATGCTCTGGCTTCTCCTCCTCCATCCCGTGCCCAGCCCCGGCGCTCGCCCTCGGCAATTCCCGCCAACGGGAAAAACCTTCCTATCGCTTCATCAAGCCCCTTAATAATTTGCCAGAAATGCCTATTGATTTCTTGCACGCTCCTGTGCAGACAGAGGTAAATAAGAGTCATTCGTCACTGCATTATGAATTGGTAATTAAAAATTACTAGGTAACTTCAACCAAAAATTGAATAATTTGAAGTAAAATTAAATAATTCTAGGTAATTAGTACTAAATTAGACCATTATTTTACTTATCAGTGACTAAAAATTACCAGGCATTTTTCCTCGTTTGGATGCTTTTCCTCCCCCTCCATGTCAGTAGAGCCTTTCTAATTTGTTTTAATTGTTAATTTTAATGAGCAGTGTTTTTCTGATAACATTTTAGTGTGCTTTTCGTTGTTGTGGGGTTTTTTTAGAGATGGCTTTTATTGCATTGCACAAAGCCTGAAGCACCTCAATGTGGGAGCAATTTGGAAGCTAAATTATTATTATTTATTTAAATCAAACCCTCCAGCCTCTTCAGGCGTGCGGCTGGCTCTGTAATTGCCGTAGCGGCGTGATGGAAGCGCTCGGCACTCGAGG